ATGGTAATGAACATGCTGACACTAATTGTTAGTAAATATAAATAATGTCTAGTTTTTTCAGAATAGCTATATGGAATGCCAACGGCATTCAACAACACAAGCATGAATTAACACAATTTCTACATGAACAAAAAATTGACATTCTTTTAATCAGCGAATCGCACTTAACAAACCACTCAAGATTTTATATTACCAACTACATAACATATTACACCCCACATCCAGATGGCGGTTGCCACGCAGGTAGTGCTGTTTTGGTTAAAGCAAATTTACGTCATTATGAAGTTGGTAAGTTTACTGCTGATTATTTGCAAGCCACCACTATTGTTGTCAGTCTACAGTCATTTGACATATCACTTTCTGCCATATATTGTCCTCCGAGACATAACATCAAATGCGAACAATTGCATGAATTTTTCAAAACCTTAGGACCAAAGTTTCTTGTAGGAGGAGACTTTAATTGCAAAAATAAGCTATGGGGCTCGAGGATTACTACCACAAAAGGACGTGAGTTAGAGAAACTAATATATACAAACAAATGTGCTTTTATATCGCCTTGGTCACCAACCTATTGGCCAAGTGATCCACGTAAACATCCAGACCTCTTAGATTTTGCAATCACTAAAGGTATTTGTACATCAAATGTTGAAATTTCCACTTTATATGACTTATCTTCAGATCATTCTCCTCTATTACTGACTTTGAGATCTACAGCTATCATTAATATTCCACCTACCTATTTGCATAACTACAAAACAGATTGGAATCTATATCGAAAACATATCTCAGAAAAAATTGATTTAAAAATTAGATTAAAACATCCGTCTGATGTGGACGATGAATTAAATAAATTTATATGTCTACTACAGGATTCCACCAAATTAGCTACCCCTCCTATAAAACATAAAGGTAGGAATATTACTAGTATGGAGATAAAACAATTATTAGCCGAAAAACGCAAGGCTAGAAGATTATGGCAAAAATACCACGATCCTCAAATGAAAACGTTATTCAACAACTTAAATAATAAACTCAAAAATAAATTAAAAGAATTTAATAATTCCAACTTTGAAGACTATATATCGAATCTCAGTAGATTGGACAATTCTATTTGGCGCCCAATAAAGAGCAATAAAAAGCCGAAATCTATAAGCAATCCAATAAAAGTCGCCACAGCAAATGGTTTTTCCTGGGCTAGGAGTAATGAAGAAAAGGTTAAGTGTTTTGCAGACTATCTAGAAACAGTATTCAAACCTAATATTTCTGAATACAACGATAATTCACGAACGGGAAACCAGACTCCACTACCATCTACGATTCATCGTGTTCCTAGATTCTCACCTGGAGAAGTTCTCTCACAATGTCATTCTTTGCGTAATAGAAAAGCTCCAGGCATGGACCTCATCACTCCCAAAATGCTAAAGGAACTACCTAAAAAGGGATTCGTCTTAATTACTTACGTCATAAATGCTATATTAAGACTTAATTACTGGCCAAACGCTTTGAAATCGTCAGAAATTATATTGATAGCAAAAGCGGACAAAAACCCTGAGCTTGTTGATTCATATAGGCCAATAAATCTCATTTCCACTTTGGCAAAAGTGTTTGAAAAACTTATACTGAATGATATATTTGTTAATCATAATGACTTATTTCCAGATCACCAATTTGGTTTTCGACGCAAGCATTCCACGATTCAGCAATGCCACAAGGTTGTGGATAATATACTTAAAGCATTTGAAAAAAAGGAATACTGTACTGCAGCGTTTCTAGATGTCAAGCAAGCATTCGATAAAGTGTGGCATGAAGGACTCCTAACAAAAATTAATAATTTGTTGCCCGAATACCATCATTTTTTCCAGTCGTATCTACAGAACAGACAATTTCGCACAAAAATTGGTACTGATTTTTCTGATTTTCGCGTTTTTGAAGCAGGTGTTCCGCAGGGCAGCGCTCTGGGACCTTTATTATATATATTATATACAAGAGACATTCCGGTTTTGGAAGATACAACCATTGGAACCTTTGCAGATGATATAGTAATTATTTCTACTGACAAAGATCCACTACTGGCAAGTATCAAACTGCAACATCACCTAAAAAAATTGAAAACTGGTCTAACTATTGGCGCACAAAAATCAATGAAGACAAATCTCACCATATAACTTTTACATTAATGAAGGGTAAATGTCCTTCGGTGTCTATTAATAATAAAATTATCCCTGAATCTGCTTCTGTAAAATATTTGGGAATGCACTTGGATAGCAAATTAAATTGGATTACTCATATAAACAGCAAAACAAAACAAATGGAAAGAAAAACGAAGTCACTGTTCTGGCTCATTAATGGTAAATCTAAATTATCATTAGAAAACAAAATTCTACTTTATAAAGCGACAATAAAACCGATTTGGACTTATGGCGTAGAGTTGTGGGGCTGCGCCAGTAAATCAAGAATTGCATCTATTCAAAGGAAACAATCCAAAATTTTACGGTGTATTGCAAATGCACCTTGGTATGTCAGCAACCGAATACTACATAACGATCTAAGAATCGATACTGTCCAAGAGGTAGTAAAAAACAGAAGTGGAATCCATCACGACAAGATCTTCAACCACAAGAACCCCACATTACTTCCCGTACTACAAACATCACATATTAGAAGATTGAAGAAGAAGCATCCCTTCGATCTAAGGCATTAAAATGGAGTAACCCACTGGGGTGATCTCCGTCATTTTATGTATATAGAATTTCAGTATTGTTACTGGACTTCTAATAACCAACACAATAGCTTATAGAAATTGTTTTTTCTGATTGCTATTAAAAAAAAAAAAAAAAAAAAAAAAAAAAAAAAAAAAAAAAATCTATACATTTGGGACTGTGGAAACAAATCATTTTAGTACCAGGTTCCTTGGACATATTTATGGAGAGTGTTCTAAATCGACTATATACAATTAAACCTAAATGTATTTGCTTATGTTTTTCTTGTGAAAAAATGATCGCTGTTGAAGATGTTACAAATATTATATAAAAATGTTGGTTAAATTAAACGGAATTAACTAGGGCAAATATTAAGTGCGGAATGAACATCGTTTTGTCTAATGTCCAGTGGTTTTTGATAAACGAACAATAACTTAATAAAGTTTGTAAATAACAATTATAAAAGTAACAATTACGAATGATAACCATACATTGTACAACAGTACAAATTACCATACATATTTGATATTTTGTTATATTATGTAATTTGCAACATAATAATAAAGATATAAAAATATATTTAAATGCTTTGTGTAATAAATACAAAATTATATTGAAATAAAATTTATACTGATACGTACTCACAATTTTACTATTTAAAATAAAACTTGCAAAAATTTGTTGAACTTGCTTAAAAAGAAATGCAATTATTACACCTACCGTTAACAATTTAGCAGACATATGAAATTAACTAAAAACATTAGGCAATATTTTTTCTTATTTCATTTTAGTACTTTTATTTCAATACAACTATCTCGACAGTAATAAGTTTATATATTTTTTATTATGTTTTTGTATAATTTAATTTTTCAAGTTCATATATTATAGGATTTTCGAATGACATATCAAATATGCTTTTTGATTTTGTTTATGGATGCAGATACAGTTCTGGTAAATACAGTTTTGGCTTATACATATATAAGATTAATATGTAAAAATAGAGACTGTATGACAACGCGAATGATAAAAGACTATCAACAACAGAAATAAAAATAAATCAACAGCACCCTACCACACATAAGGTCTCGAAACGACTGTCCTTCACAGACGGGCTTTGCTATCCCCACCACTTCTTTTACCCTCTCCATGCGACAACGCCATCCCCTCTACGGAAGCCCAAACTCTATTAAGCTTATTGGTCAAGGCGGGGTTGGAATTCAAGATGGCGTTGCGATACTGGATCGGATTGGTTCAAGGGAACGAAGTCGTGATTCGAGCGTCTCATTACAAATGTATTCACTTCAAAGTCATTTCCCAAGGCGAGTTCATCAAAGAGAGTACGGAGTATGTTAAATCGACCGAGTCTTAAGTTTTCCCTTGCCATTTCTTTCTTTACTGATGCTTAATGATAAAGTAATTATTTACGAGATATTGCTACTTCTTTATAGAAAATAATACGTGTCTGAATTTCTATCCTCAATTTTGTTTTAGATGGTTTGAGTCCTATTTAAATAAGTAATAATGTCAAGAAAAATTTATATTTAAATAGAATATTTAAACTATCGCAACAACAACAACTATGTTTTAATTACCGAGTATAACATCAAATGCAATTTCTGACAAAATGACATTACATAGTTTGTATACATTTTGCCATCTATATAATTCATAAAAGTTGGTATTGTTACGTAATTAAAGGTAAGAACTATTAGACTACAAGTTTATCAATTAAAAGGTATAATAAATAATTATTTTACTTCAAATTTTTGTAATATTTTAATAAATTATAATTTATTGATAATTATTTATTATACTTCACAATTGATAAAATTATATGCTGTAATAGTCTTTAAATTAGCAACTTTTCAACATTGAATTTTGAATTTTTATTGTACTCAAGATGGAATTTTGTTTTATCTTTCAATCAAGTTACTATAGAAAAATAAATAAGTTAAATCACAAACGATAAAAAACTGTTATTAACTGATTTCTGAGAAATAAAAATATTTATGGCAATGATTTTATTAATGTATAATAAATAAGGGCAGTCATTAGTTCATAACAAGAGCAACTTATACTTACTTACTTATTAATGAGGATATGTTTCGCACTAAAGTGAATTATAATATACTTCCTCCGTTTTGTATACATCCTAGTCAAATAATTGTAAAATTTATTTTATGATGTAATGTTTATTGGTGACAGTTTTTTTTGAGTATAATTATCACAAAACCATTTCACACAATGTTAATACATTACATAATAATCAGCAAACTTTGCAGTGAAGAGAAATTTCTATAACTATAGGTTCATAACCCTGTAAAAAGCAGCTGGTGCAGGTGAGGTTTTTTCTTCAATTGTCACAAGCGTAAAATCTAATTTAATAATGTTGGGAAATAAATGTGCTATGAATATTCGGTAATTTTCCGTGCTCTGTAACATAAAGAATAGAAATCTAATTGTAAATAAACGCAAAAAATAATTGTATATAAACACACATATACATAAACGGCTAAAAAGTCTTCTTAAACATAATTGTTTCGATTTGATAGTAACTCTATTTGATGCTACATAAAATATATTGATGTTTGATATAATTTTGTAATGTTATGATCCCAGTTATGTAAATACTCATAATCCAAGTAATCAAAACACACATTTCTGTTCGTTACATTCTAAAAAATAATAGCTTCTTATATGAAAGATTTTGGAAAAACTTATAGAATTTATTTTTTCCTTGTGAATGAAGGCGTTGACTTTAGCGGAGAATTGTGATACTGTATCAAACATATATATGAACTATTTGTAGTCTTTTTGAATTAAATTGTAATCTATATAATTACCTGCTCTATAGGATTTCCGGCGAATGTCAAATTTCTAAGTTTTGGCAAGTTTCTCAAAATTAGAATAGATTTTATCGATCGAAGATCATTATGATGCAAGTATAAAATCTTCAAATTCTGAAATGTCGCAATAACATCGTTTATTTCATTTATGCGGTTGTGAGATATATCCAGCCAGCTGAGCAGATTAGGATACACCAAAATTGATTTTGTAAATCTGTTAAAAGTAGAACATGGAGATTCAGTAAAAACTGATAATTATTTTTTTTACATTAAAATTGAAAATTTGTATTTATGATTCGGACAATCATTCTATAAAATATACGTTCCGTAATTCTTCTAATATAGTATCTAACACTTCTTGAATTCGATTTTGATAAGTTTTGTATTTATTTATTTATAGTATAAATAAAGCGTTTCTCAAACTTATTTTTCCAATGCCCCCTTTGAATATCAAAATTTTTATAGCGCCCCCCTACCATATTTTTTATACCTATATAATCTCTAAAATACATTTTTTTTCAATTTCAATAATATTGTTATAGTGTTCTTTATTAGATGATGTAACCTTCCATTTTAAATTAGAAAATTCTACCAGTGAGAACAAATGAAACGCTACTGAAAACAGTGTATTCATGTAAAAAATTTTAGTTAGGGGCCTTTTATCGCCCCCTAGATATTACGATTTATGGTAAAACACGATTAATTTCCTTACAACAAACCGAAAACAAATATCAACATTTTATGTTATTTATATAAATCGGTCAGTTTATGCTATTAATTTGCTTTCTTTGTTTTTCATTCTAGGGATTATCATCCCTTATACATTCTAGGGATTATCAAATGCTTTAATCAAAATGTTTAAACGTCGTCAAAGGGCAATGCAATATGTATAATATTCTTTTACTAAATCATTTCTACGTATAATATTCTCTTTGCATAATGAAATTTTCTGTAGAAGCTTTGATTGAACACATGATATTTTTAACTTAACGTATTTTTCTAATTGTAGAAATATCTTTTATCAGGAAGAATTCGCAACTTAGTAACTCGACTTATGAATATACATACACTGAATTTTTAGGGTTTATGTAGAAAAATGTGATAAAGTACCGTGGTATATTTATCTCTATTCACAATTTTAACTAACTTGATTTGCTAGCCAGCCACAAAGATCGAAGCTCAAATAGGAATTATTATAGTAAATGAGGACTACCATGTCCAAAAACTTTTTTACAAATTTCTGTTTTTAATTACTACATTTTATTTTAATTTTTGCTTATTGTTCATAATTTTATTTAAAAAGTATTAAAGCGTTAAATTATTACAACGGGTTAACAGTTTTCCAATGCTAATTTTAAGATCTAAATAATAAATGAAACTTTCAACTTAAGCAATAAATTATAATAAATGTCTTTCTTACTTATCCAAATATTCCAAATTTGTCAAGCGGTTGTTATTGAGCCAAATCGATAAGGAAAGATAGCGGGCATTGCGCCCAATTTTTGGCAGACCTCCCAAACGAAATGCTCGAGGTTTTTGAGCGTCCACTTCATTCGCGGGTAACTTCTCAAAGTAATCCAAACCTAAAGGAAAGTAGGAATAAAAAATAAATTGCATATATAATTAAATATTTTTGTAGCTATAGCTACATGACTATAAGTTATGGATACATAAAGCATTTTGACTTGGTTCTTTGTAAACATTTGTAATATTTTTAGCATCAGATATTATTGTATAGGTATATTTAATAATCTATAAAGCGGCGTTTATACTTGGATTTGATAATTACTATCAATCTGTCTAAATGAGTAATCACATGGTCGACTAGATTCAAGAATTTTTAGTTCATCTTTGTCAGGCCCCAATTCAGCATCTTCATGGATACTATTAGTAACATCAACCGATTGCGCCTCTGTTGTATTAAAAACTGCCATAATATTTAATTTTATAAAATTAAAATAATTTACACATATTTAAAATAAATTTTGAATGTCAAAAATAATACTATCTACTGAAAATCAAAGTCATTATATATATATATAATAGTTTAATTTTAAAATTATGAATAGTATAAATATAAATATTAAAATTGTAATACCAATGCGAAATAATATCGCCTGGTTGCACTAGGTTGAGAATAGAGATGATAAATTGCAATTCTTGCCAAATTTTAAAATGTCATTAATGAAACCAAAACAAGACATTATACTTATACAAGACTTAAGGCAAATTGCTGGAATTTTCTGTACCGTAATTAATATTAAATGTTTTAAAATAGATTATTATAAATACTGTAACATTGTCTAATAATTATAAGAAATATTGAACTGTAATAACAATTCGAATCATTATTTTGTTTAATAATTACAAAACGCGTTGCTAGTTATATGTAGGTTACGCGGACATCGGAAGTGCTTACTGTTGGATTTTGTAAATAGGTTGTAAACAATAAATTAGTTTATAAGAGTTACACAAAAGTTAGACAGTCAGTCAAACCTGGAGAGAAGCTTGGAGTCAAGCTTGGAGCCAGACATAGTATTCAGTAAAATGTAGTCTTTGCTGATATGATAACCAAAAGGTTATCAACAAATATGAATTGTAAAAATAGTGAATAATAAAAGTATCATTCAAAGAAAGAAGTGTGTTTGCAATTTACTATCAAATCGCTGTTCGTCCTAAAGGCCTTTCACACTACCAGGGGACTCTGGAGAGTCCACATCACAAATATAATATTTCAACAACTATTCAACTGTTGACCGCTCGGGTCCAGCCTATCATTACAATTCCTGGTCGTACTGGTGATCCAGAACATACCTCCCAATATATCAACCACCAGCCAGGACAATTCAATATATAAACTAAATTGCAAAGTTAAAATTATTTTTTTAGCTATATAAGTGAGCTTTAGAACTTTAGCCAGAATTAAAATTAAAACTTTGGAATTGTTTCGATATACAAAAAATATTTTCTTGGAATTTTTTTCCCAAAAGCAATTGTTTTGTCAACACAAGTTTTTTGAATCGTTCAAATCGGATGCTAGTTCTCTCAAAAACTTCCATTTTTTGTACATTTAGCTCTGTATCTCTGTAACAACTGGACCTGCCTTTGCCAAAACTAATCAGCACATTCCCCTATCAACAGGAATCGAATGTTTTTTGAACCATTCAAATCGGTTGATCCGTGCGCCCGAAAACGTGAATCAAAAAATGCGGACATACAAAACACACACACACGTCCAGTTTTTTTGAGGTATGTCAAAATGTTCAGAAACCTTCAAAACGTGAAGATATGCAAAATTTTTCATTTTCGGTTTTATGACAAAAAATCACGAAGATCATGTGGGGGAGGGAGGGTATTTTAGTATATTACGTGTATGTATTTTTTACCTGTATTTTAAAAAAAAATCCTAACATTTTAAAAAAAAATCAAAAATTTTTCAATTTTTCTCGTAACTAAAAATACACGTGACGTTTGGTGGGCAAGAGGGGTAATTTTGAATATCACTATGTATCACCTAGGGGGAGGGGGAGTTCTAAAATCCTTGAAAATTCGATCACATGATTAATGAACGCTCCCTTAGAAATGGTCCACTGTATGGTTCTAAACTTGGAAGATATTCATCAGGATCCTAGGTAAATAAGCATAATGCTCAGGATGGTCTATTGCAGAAAATAATTGCTTGTAATAATAAATAATAAACTGAGCTATTATAGCTGTGATAAATTGATAAAATATTAAGGATAGTGTTGATCAAAAAAGATTTACTATAAATAATAATATATCGCTTTATACGCCATTATATAAATATAATGTGGTCCCGGTTTTGGAGGTATATCAATATATACATTCATATATCGCTTTATACGCTATTAGATATATAATTATGGTCCCAGTTTTGAAGGAATGTCAATATATACATTTATATATCCAATTTCCACTTAAACTAAAGCAGCAAAAACACATCTAACTATGTCTAAATCGAAGTAACCATTTATATATTCAATTTCCACTTGTGAACTAAGGCAGCACGAATGCATCTAATTATGTGTGAGTCAATATATAAATCTATATATTCAATTTCCATACGCATTTGGCGTTTATGCCCCACGCCGTTTTGGTTAAAAATCCATGAATACCTATCGACGGATTTAGTTCCATATGAACCCGGTAGTCACTACGTAGTTCCTCACGACTTGGGAACAATTTTGCATAGAGGCGCTGCATGCAAACGCCTTAGAAACGTAGGAATCTTGGTGGATTCCTATTGGATTCTTTTATACGCTATTAGATATATGATTATAGTAACGGTTTTTAAGGAATATCAATATATAACTTATATATCGCTTTATACGTTGCATGTTCTATACTTATTGAGAATTAAAAAATTAAAAAAAGCATGAATAGTAATATATGGATTTTTAAAACTGAAATTAGAATTTACAAATCTATTAAAACCATATATAAAAGAAGAGTATTATTTAAAGATATTAAAATTAAAAAAAATTATTATTATTAAAACATATTATTTATTGCATTATTTACAAACATTCTTATTTGTAATTAGTGCAATCACAGTAGATTGCACTACCTGTGGAATTGAAAGATGTCTATTAAACAAATATTGTTTTAAACTAGTGGGGCGCATGGCATCGTGCCTTAAGGCAAATTGCTGAAACTTTCCGTACCAAAAATATTTTTTTTTAAAAAAATTAACATTTTTGAAAAAAAATAACTCTGAAAAAATTAGATTTTTGAGAAACTATAAATTTTTAACAAAAATTTACTTTAAAAAAAAAACTTTTTGAAAAAAAAATTATTATGAAATATTTTGGAAAGTATGAACTTTTCAGAAGGTTTTGAAACGTAAAGATATATAAAAATTTTCATTTTCGATTTTTTGTGATTACTATAACTTGCCCTACGGAAAGTTAATAAAGATTCTAATGTTATTAAATATTCTCAACTTGAAAAAACAGTTTATTCACATATAATAATTTATATAAATAAATTTGACAATACAAACTCGATTTATCAATTCACAAAATTTTATTGTTCTATAGGCAAAAACGAGATTACATTAATGTATATATAATAACTATAGCAAATAATATATATATATATATATATATATATATATATATATATATATATATATATCATTAAAACTAATATATAATTTGTCCCATATGGAATAACCAACAACTGAGAAATAAAAATTTTAACTTAAAAAATAGTAATTTGAACACATTTTTCATGGCTTTGATAATAATGTTTCTTAATAGTGAACATGTAACAAGTAACAGTATCTAGCAGAAATAAGCAAAATTTTATAACTACTTAATATTATACAAGCACCTTTGTTTTTTTAACTGCATCTCAAAATTTAAGCTTATTAACACATATCCTAAGTTAAGATTCTTAAAGGCATTATTCTCATCATTTATCTTTTATGATTTTAAGGCAATATGTATAGTCTTTGGATATGTGATATGAATATATTAAATCTACAATTTTTTATATAATTTTTTTTTCTATCACATACTTAAAGACTTTGCTTTTTTTGCCTTCTACCGATTACATTCAAATAAGTGAATTTCACAATGTTTTAAATTTCTATTTGAATTTCGCGCTTTACTTTTTATTGTACAAGTGGCCATAGACTTTTTGGCACATGTTGCTAACTTTAATTGCTTCGATTGTCAAAAATTTTTTCGTCAATTAACATGTTCTTGCGTTAATTAAGACTTTTTAATTAAATCTTTGATTGGATTCTGTTAATTTGTACATCAACTCGTTTAATTAATTTAGCAGATAATAATGATATAGGAAATTCATCGCGAAATGTTCATAAAAAGTAAAAAAATTGGGTGTGTTGTCGAAGTACCTAAGTGTACCTTGAATAGTTTGATAAGTATCTCTTTCAGGGTCTCCATTTTAAATCAATTTTATAATTAAACAATTTTTTCACAGCGCCAATGTATCCTTCAATTATATACATGCAATTATCAATATTATAATTTATATATGTGTTTTTGTAGGTTATACTTGAGTACAATTTATTTACAGCGCCAATGTATCCTTTAATTATATACATGCAATTATCAATAGTATAATTTATATATGTGCTCTTGTAGGTTATACTTAAGTACTTCTACTACATATCTGTTTTTATCGAATTCTAAATTCACGAAAGTCTCTAATATAAGTTTTGTGTCGCGTATTGTGTAAATATTTTACTCGGACAATAGCTACAGGTCAAATAGACTTGTAAAAGACTAAAGTTATGTACTGGTTCTAAAGTAGTGATTTTGTGTCGAGTACTTGAGATTTCTGGCAGATGCTCCAGAGGTGGTTCCAGTAATGACCCAATGTTTTGGGAGCTGCTGCAGAGGATATCTAACAAGTTAAGTGCAAAGCATGTTTTATACATAGCGAGTCAAAGAATATTTTTCTAGAATTATATACAGATATTTATCGTACTAGATCTGTTGCACCTTATGTGTTTTAAATATTCAACATTTAACTTATACATGTATATATATATATATATATATATATATATATATATATATATATATATGAATTAAGTTTTTCTTAATTTTGAATTTAAAGCAGTCAAATGATTTTGAAAACCTTTACTCCAACACAATATTGTTTGTCATCTTTAGTGAAACTATAATTTCAATAGAAATTCATAAAAAGATATTACTTATAATTTATGTTCTGAAAGGAGTTTACAATTATTGACCGAGTTTGTGTTACATGCTACTTTTTATATTTGTATGAATAATATTTCTTATTAATTATGTATTTAATGCTTTTTTTATATTAAATGAAATTAATAAATGAAAATTAATTTGAAGGTGCCTTGAGAACTTGTCACTTTGTTATTCAATATCATTCATAAAGCAGTCTGTATATATTTTAGTGGAAT